TTGAAAAGTTAAAATTTCTAAACATATAAATTTTTCTAAGTGTTGAAAATTTCTTATTTTTTCATAACTTTGAGCAAAATTTTCACCATAATGCAAGATGATTCAAGATAAACTTCCAACATGAAAGTTGTATATATCCATGAAATCTACAACTTTGATTCACACTAATTCTTCCAAAAGTGTTTGTATCTCAAGTTATAATTTTAAGAACATGTGGTCATGAAACAAAACACTTGGTGAAATTTTGCCCTAATTTGGTCAGGATTTTGACCCAACTTCATGGCACTTTTTCATATAGTTCCAAGGGGAATATTCAAAATCAATTCAAATATGGGTTGTAGAGCACATTGCAAGCTTTCCAAAATGTCTAAGAACTCCTTGATATCATTCTTGAGTAGGGAGAATCGAAGAGATGAAGTTAGGATTTTGTCACTTTAATTACAAGTAATTTTTGTGATGAACCAAATTCAAAATTCAAACTATGTTGCATAAACACTACTTTGTAGGCCTCAAACTTGTTAGGCACTCTATAATTAATGGCTTACACAGCTTTTAGTGTCCTCACTTCAAGCATTCAATGCATGGACATGCTTTATATCTATTTTTGGAAGAAAGGTCACGTTGCCATTTTGATAAAGTGACTTTTTATACAAAACTTGTTCTTGAGCCTTGCACTTGTTCTCTTCTGATCAAACAGGTCCTATAACTCATGAGAAATGTTTCAAACACTTACAACCACCCATCCCATGCTTGTACCTCTCCTTGAAACTTGTTTCCCTCTTTTCTTCAAAATCAAGTAACTTAGACAAAAGCTAGAAACTTGTACTTCTGATTATCCAAAGCTCTCAAACACTTTTGTTTATACATACACAAACCATTTGACACAAACACACGAATGCTTGACCACTGAAAAGAGCTAGAACTCAGAATCACACTTCACACTTTAATTTTCACACAAACTGACCAAAAACTTGAAACTCATAATCTACTCGTGCGTTTCTTGGCCTTTTGGTTTCCAAAGCTTCTAAACATCATATAGAGTTGATCTCACACCCTGTTACAAAATTGTAGCACCATTAATACCATCCTACATTTTCAAAAATGGAGCTCTGCACATTGACTTCTCCAGACCATTTCAGTCATGCATTGCTCAAGCTAATTATTGCATTAGCTTCCTGGGACCTCAAGGAAGCTAACATGATCATCACCATCACTTGAAACAAGCTCAAACTCAAAACACGATTTCCAGTTTTGAGGTAAGTTTTCTTAACTTTGAACTCTTCATACAGGCATCATCAATGATTTATTTGTGAACAAAACATGTAGATATCAATGCCCTGAAGCTAACCATGTCCATAGATTCCATTAATTTTGCTTGAGTTTAGAGAATTTTGAAACTAAAATTTCTGAGATTTTTAGGGTTCAGATTAGGGCCATTAAAATTCATGTTTATCTTTGATCTATAGTTTTAATGTTTTACATTTCTGAAACCGTGAGAAAATTTGCTACAAGTTTCACGTTTACAGTTTTCATTTTTGATGAGAAATGAGCAAGTTACAGTTGGTCTGGCTGGAGGTTGAAGATGAAGTCATCAGGGCGTATTTTGCCTTGTATGTTTATTGATTTGCCTATGTTAACGGATGTATAGTCACCCCAATGGTAGAAGCGTGCGTTTGTAACCTTTGGGACCTGGGTTCGAGCACCAGTGGTACCCTTTTGTGTTTGTTTACCTATTTTGTATTTTATGACTTTTTTGCCGGGCGGTAGGCCTCTTTGGGCCTGTTTCATCTGTTTCATATTTGCGCCCCTGGTCCAGTTTATTTTATTTTCTTATTTTTATTTCATTTATTTTCTTAATATATTTCCTAATACTAAAAAATCATAAAAAATATAAAAAATGTAGATTTATATTTTAATCTAGTTTATTTATTTTTCTCACACAAAAAATTATTTTATTAACCATACTTTCTTTATTTTACTAATTATCTTATAAATTTAATTAAAATACTATGCTTTTTTATTTATTTTCGTTCACACCATTTAAAATATATTATTTTAATATAAAAAAAATATCAAAAATATTTTATAACACCATGTATTATTTTCAAGACAAAAATACCAAAAAATACTTTTCTTACAAACTTATTTCTTTTAATCAATTAATAAATTTAGGGTTTTATTTAAAATCTTTTTCTTAATAAATTTAAGTTTAATTAATTATTTTCTTCAAATTAATTACATTAAAACAAATCCCCCTTTTCTCATGAAAACCAAATATCCATTTACTTCACATTTTGCATTTTTGTACATTTATTCATTTTATATTTTGTACTTATTTGTTTCCTTGTACATTGATGCCAATTCAATATGGTTGTAATAGACTAATTAGGTTTACATTCTTGCAATCCACATTCAATTTGTCGCTTTTATTTATAACATGCTAGTAATTAGGGTTCGTATGGAAAGACTAAAACCAATACTTAGAAAACCCTAATTTCAAGACAAAATCAAGCATGAAAACAACACACTTGCACTTAAGCACCCCTAGGGTAAATCCACTTGGTTGCCTTTAAATGTCCATATTATGCATGTAAGGTATCTTAGCAAAAACAAGCAAATACAAGATCATAGTCCCTCAATGACGCTATCTAAGTTGCCTTTCAAATGATCTTAGTCCCTAAAAAGAATGCTAAGATACCCTTCAACATTGCTAATCATGGTTATACCATGACCCATGCCCGTCCCGTTTACATCCAAAGATAGGGTTGCTTACCAAATCAATGATAAAACAACAATGTCAAAGGAAAAGAAAATGAACAAGAAAGACTTTTGAGTAGGTAGAATGCTCCTAATTACTTGCTCAATTTCAAACAAACATCCTTGCTATTTTCCAAACAAACACCTACACTTTCAAAATATTTTACAAAAAAAACTTGAAAACATTTTCAAAAGATCAACATCTTTGTATACATTCTTACAAACGAGAATCATTACAAAGATTGCCTAAACAATGACCTCTTTACAAAATACTTTCAAAAACCACACAAAGCACAATTTCAAACAAAAGCAAGTGATCTAGCAAGTAACTAAGAATCCATGGAGAACCATGGATGAAAAGGGTGATAATACCTTCCCTTTTCATAATCTATCCCCCGAACTCAAGAAATAATCTCAAAGGTCTTTCCTGTTCTTTTTCACCTTTCCTTTTGGATAAAAGAAAAGTCGGTGGCGACTCTTGCTAACCGCAACATTTTCGATCAAACGCAAAACCTTCAAGTCAGTTCTCCCACCGTATCACACTAAACATATGTTTAGATAAAACCAATTCTTTCTAGCGCTTGATTCTTAAATAATGGACATGATTCTTTGCCACAAAGATAACGACAACATTGAAATATTGCTTATCATATATATGATATTCTTCAAACGGATATTAAAATATCAGGTTTAGAAACTGTCAAGCCAAAACAAGGAGATTCTCATACCTTTGCACAACTTTTGACAGGTTATTGAGCTGTTTTCTCTTTACTCAATTGAATTGATTCTAAAGACCCATTTTATTCCAACAATATTCTTCTGATGAAGTTTTGGTACCAAATTTCACACAACATTGAAGAATCACCATGAACTCCTTTTTCTAGATGATCTTCAACGGTTGAATAACTTCTGAAGCACCAGTTTCTGGTCACCCAGCTCCAGTAGTACCAGTAACAGTCATCCATATTTTATGGTTTCTTCCAAACTCTATATTTCCTATCTCTTTCAGAGTTAGAATTTAGAACATATGCTTTTCTTCTATCATATGTTGTAAGAATCCACTAACCATGTATTCTTACTTCTACTTTGCTTCTTATGTATGTTGCAAAAACAATTTTAGATTTGGGTACCCATAATTTGATGGGTCCTCCGGGGTTAGTTCTGAAAGGTATCTTTTGACCTTGTACCTTAGCCTTCATGTAGTAAGACTTGAAATCATTCAAGACTTCTGATTTAAAAGTTTTATGTCTTGAATGACTTTTATCCTTTGGTTTTTAACCTTTGAGAACCTTAGACTCTAATCTCTTAGGTTATGGTCTTCTCGGAATTTTAGACTTTTGAATCATTGGCTATGGTTTCTTCAGAACCTTAGACTTTTAAGTCTCTGGTTCTTATTTCTTCAGAACTTATGATTTAATAACCTTTTGTTATGATTTATTCAGATCCTTTACTTTGTCATTAATAGGTACAAAGTAAGAATAAAATCCTTTTTAATCAGATCTTGGAGAAGAAGGTTCTATTGGCTTGCTCTAGGTTCTAAACCTAGGATCAAAAGATTTTCCAGAATAGCGAAGACCTTCTCCTCTGCTCCTACCAAGTTTGTAAATCATAGAAGTTATTTTTGTCCTGTTAAGCAAGAAATGACAAATTCACGAAAAGCCATTTCATACTTATTAAGGTGTTTGTCAAACATGCCATTAATTAAAGTAGTATGATCTATTTCTAATTCAACAATTTTATTTTTATAAAAATATAATTCATCTTTCAAGAGATCATAACGTTTTTTTCCTCATAATTTTCACATATATAGCTTTAACTTGATAATAACCCGTAAGATCTTTAACAAGAGTAATTAAATCTGAATGATATAAATTAGCAACTACCTCATCTTCTTGTTCTTCTTCTCCATATTTAGAACCAGAATCTGAGTTAGATTATGCATTAGAGGATGTATGACCCATCAAAGCTAGATCAACTTTTCCTTCATTTTTGTCATAATCTTATTCATTTCTAAGTTCATCCCATGTTGTCATGAGATTCTTCTTGTCCTTGTTTCTGAAGTTGTCCTTCTGATAACTTCCTTTCTTTGCTTTGTACTTTTATAATTATGGATAATCATCAATGAAGTGATCAGGCTTCTTGCAGTTGAAACACCCCTTATGACCATCCTTCTTATATTTAGAACTAGTTCCTCTGAAGCCACTGCTTATGTCAGAGAATATTTTGTCCTTCTTTGTCAAATACTAAAATATTTTGATAAGAAATGCCATCTCCTCATCATCTGTTTCATCTTCATAACCTGCTGCAGAAGCAACTTCTTCAGATTCACTGACTTTGGTAGATTTAACATATTTATCAACATATTTCAAAGCAAGAGACTTTGACTTCTTTGCAGGTTCATCTACAATAAGCTTTATCTCATGGCTCTGGATATTATTCATTAAAATTTCCAAACTTATATTGTTTAAGTCTCTAACTTCTTGTATGGCAGTTACCTTAGGTATATATTTGACATGAAGACTCATAAGAATCTTCTTTACATGATCAACTGTTGTGTAGCTCTTATTCAAAACTTGAAATCCAAACACAAGAACTTGAAACCTTGAGAATATAGTTTCAATGTCTTCATCCTCCTTTATTTTGAACAGTTCATACTATTGGACCAGAAGGTTTGCATATGCCTTTTTAACTTGATGATTCTCTTCATAGGAAGCACAAAGAGATTCAAAGATGGTTTTGGCAGTAGATTTGTTGAGAATCTTGAGATATTCAGAATGAGGTAGAGCATCTACCAAGATTCCTCTTACTCTATGATGTTTTCTATATACCTTATTTTGAGCAGGCGTGAGGCTCTTTCTATCACCCACCATACCTACTATATCAACTTTAAACTCAATTCCACCTTTAAGAATATCTCATAACTCATCATCACGACCTATGATGCAAGTGTACATTTTACTTTTCCACCATTCAAACTCAGTATAACTTCTTCATTTAATAATTTCTCTATATAAACTAAATGATCCAACTTTATTAATTTTTACTACAAAAATGAGCATATGTGAAATATAAAAAAGAAAATCATACCATAATATAGTTCTATGACATAAATATATATCTATTTTATTTTATCAAAAAGAAAAATCAATCGATAGAAACATGAATTAAAAAAAACGATAGAAAAATGGACTTTTGTTTTTCAGTAAAAAGCTTTCTGACACATTTTGGTAAGTTAATAAAATACACTTAAATGATTAAAATTAAAAGAATATAAAAATATAGAATAAATTTTACTTGGAATTCCTCCATTTAATAATTTCTTTTATATAAACTAAATGATCCAACTCTATTTAATATTTTCTTTATATAATTTAAACGATCCAACTTCGTTATTTTTTACTTCTAAAATGAGTCCCCGTGAAATATTAAAAAGAAATGTTAAATATGTTTTTGATCTATATAAATTATTAAATTTAATTTTTGGTCCCTATAAATAAAATGACATTTTTTAGTCCGTATTAAATTATTATGCGCGTAATTTTAGTTCCTGTTGTTAAATTGATGTGTCTTTTTGAATGATTATTTTGCCGACTTGTTTAAAACGTTATAAAAAATTCCTTGAAAAAAAAACTCAAAATTTGATTTCTAAGTCGATATTTTCATTACTTTTATCAATATCTTTAGAAATTTAGTAAATTCATATTTAATTCTTCTCATTTTAAAAAAAATTAAAATTTAATAAATTATTCAAAAATTTAAAAGTTTAAGGATAGTTAAACCGTTTTTAAAATTTTAAAAAATAGCAGAGACTAAAACTGCATGAATAAAAAAAATTTAAGAACTAAAACTTATCATTTTTTTAATAGAAACTAAATAAAATTTGAGATATTTATAGAGATCAAAAACTTATTTAACCATAAAAAGAAAATTATAACATTTATGTTAGCATGTTTATTTAAAATCAATCTAAAGTCATCAACATTTTTAAATTAATTATATTTTTTTTGTTACATATTTTTATACTATTTCAATTTATCAATGATCTATTTTAAATTTGTAATAAAACTTTTTTTTTAATTATAAAAGATGATTTGAAAATATTTTTTTGTTTTAGGATTTTTATGGGTTGAGAAAATATCCTTCAAATTTTAATCAGTCATTAACTATTTATTTAATACTATAACTCTAATATTTTTAATACATGAATCTTTTAATAACAGTATCAAATATATAATACATAATTATTAATAATTAAAGAATTTAAACCAAAATCATTTCAAATAATCTGAAGAAAATAAATAAATAAATTTCATTCAATGTTAAATATATAATACATATAAAAGACAATATAGTAGATCATCTATGCAATGAATTGATGGACAATATCATCGGACCTATTAATTATGCATAAATTGATGTTACAACTGTTAAAAGTTTTTTTATCAAAAGAATTAAATAAAATATCTATTTTAGTTTTTTAATTATATCTCTAGGTTTAATTTGATTTCTTAATTTTTTTTTATGTTAAATTAATCATTTAATTTTTTAATAGATACATATTAATCATTTCCGTCTATTCCATTAATTAAAGTCTATTAGTCAAGGGAGAAGGAGAGAAAGAAAGAGAAAAAGAAAGGATATTATGTGAGAGCAGAAGAGGTGATGTGGTGGTGTGATATTTGAAAAATAATGCGAAATATTATTGAGTTAGAAAATCAAAGGGATAGTTATACAAAATAATGATTATTAGAGTTAATATTTTTAGTATCCGTTTATCATCCAAAAAGAGATAATTAATCAATCAGAAAAAGAGCTTAATAATCTTTTCCAGAACATCTTAATAGATTACAAAATATTACAAAAATTGATTATTAAATGAGACTCCAGAGCTTTGGATAATAAGAATTAAATCGCTGGAAGATATAATAGCTACATTAACAATCCGATACTACTCACATGTTAACAAAGTTATACTTTCAGTGCAATATATTTGTTGATTAATTTTGAAAGTGATTTGTATTAATCTTTATAGGTGACACTTTATTCCACTAAAATAAATTGTGAAGCATGACTTATACTTCCTTCGGTCCTTTTTATAACACTGAAAAAATCGCACAGACTAAGGAAACTAATTTTTTTATTAACAATTCTAAAATTGATTATCTTATTCCAAAACTAACCCTGAAATATTAATCACAGTCATTATTATTCTTGTTTGTTGTAATTATCAATAACAAGAATAGTCATATTAATTTCACGTTGGGGTATTATGTTTAATTTCAATAGTATATTTTCCTCTTCATAATAATAGTCATATTAATTACCACAAGTATTACTCCTATGCTACTCAAACTTCACGTTGGATTGAACTTTATAAAAACAACTTATTTTAATTTCTTTTCTTATTTGTTTGAATTACACGAGTATTTTGTTTGAATTTTTTGTCTAAAATTTTTGTTCAATGAGTTTGTAAATCATGGAAGAAAAAAACTTGTCTAGTTATCATATTAGAGTCATTGTCTATTTATATTCAACCATATCATGAACTAAATTTACCACTGTCTAAGGTGAATAGTAGAAATACATGCATGCATTGGAATTATATTATCAGTAAGGTGAAATTGTATACAGTAACATGAAATTATATACATTGACATGAAATACATCTTTATTAAATTCATCAAGGTTGTCAGTCATGTCCAAAGCACCAAAAGTTGAGTGAGCACAGTCTCTATAATTCACCTCTGTAAATTCTTTTGCATCTTTCTCATTCCATATTTGCTTCTCCCTTCTAATGATTGTTTATCTACCACCTTCTTCCTCACTCTCAATATCTGATTCCTCGACAATCTCGGTAGAATTAAGTGAATCCTCAACCGTTGCGGTAACATCAAGTGAATGTTCAATAGTCTCACTTTCCATTTCAACAGAATCTTCAATCTCTGGAAGCTGGTTCAAATCAATATGAAATTTCATGGCCATGGCTAATGTGAGAAATAATGGAATAATGAAGGTAATAGAAAGAAAATGTGAATATATAGATTTAAGGTAGTGTCCGTTTGTGTGCTTGCAACTTTCCCTCCAAAATTTTGCATGGGGAATATGTCTATGTAACTAATCCACTTACATTGAAATGAGTTATTAATTTTATTTAATAAGGGTACAGATAGAATTATATATTTAATAAAATTTAAATTTAAAGAATGTTTCTTAGAAAAAAGACCAATTTTTTTTTGTAAAGTATTCCTTATAAAAAAACGGAAGGATTACTGTTTAAAAATATAAGTTTCGTTTAATAATAAGTCTATTATCACCACTTGAAATTTTGTTCATATAAATATATAATATCATAAAGTTCTCTAATTTTGTCTTCCCTCCTTGCATCCTACACGTGGATAGGTTGAGAACTCAGCAAATTTTTGGCAAAAACACATGCAAATGATTTAATTATGTTGCTACATGTTCATCGGTAGTTACAGGATTGAGGTTTGTTTCAATTTGGTTTCATTCCATCATGATTCTCTGCGGCGGTTACTTTCTCCTCTTCACTCCCTTTCCACTTCTCATCGTTCCACTACTGATCTATGATTGCAGCGGTTACTTTCAACATAACAACGTTTTTTTTTTATTTCAACTGCCCCACTCTCCATCATGATTCCACTATTTATAACCTCCATATTTGTTGTTTCTTCCAACGCTTTGTCTCCCAGAAATACTCGACTTTCAAGTTATTTTTGCTTCATGCAAGCGACTTTATTCATGGCTAGACCTGTGGCGAATATCTGCGACATCAATGATAGAAAAGAGTTGTGGAAAGTATTTGTGCGAGTGCATCACAAATAGAAAGTGTTGTCTAACAACATATAGCATTTTGAGATGATATTTGCGGACAAGGCAGTAATTTTTGTTTTCTCTGCATCTGTGAATCTTATGATGTGTTATGTTTAATGTTTTTTGGTTGCACATTAACCCTTTTTGTGTATCTGTGTTATACAGGGTGGGGACATACATGTTGTTGTCCCATCAACACATGTGACTTTGTTTGATGATAAAAAGGTATTGGACCATACTTACACGGTATCAAATTTTAAGGTTCAGTCTAATGTGTTGACTTTTAGACTTTCGTCGCACAAATTTTTGGTCAAGTTTATGGAAAGAACATTTGTAGGTGATGATAACAAGAATCAGATACCGGCCAAAATGTTGGTGTTTACAAAGTTTGCTGATATAATCATTGGTAACTTTAACAGGGATGTGTTGATAGGTGAATTTTGTTTCGCGTGTTTTGTTTTGTAACCTTTGTATTTTATATATGTTGTTTTGCTCTTATGTTGATTTTCTGTTTTTTGTTTTCCAATATGTCATTGGTATGGTTGAGAGTATTGGTTAATCCCAAACACAGTCGGATGGCAAAAAGCAGCAGCTTAATATGGTACTGAGGGACAACAGGTTTGTATATTTGCTTCCAAGAATTCCTCTAATTTGAATGTATGTTTCCTTCATGATTAAATCCTGCTGATTTATTTTTTGTGTAGCAACAACACTATCAACTATACCATATGTGAGTCATATGCCGAGCAATTCCTAAAGGTCAACCAGGAACAGAGGGAGGGGGGTTGATTCGGGACCATCTTCTGTTATGCTTCGGTATGCAAAAGTCAAGGAACATGGTTAGTTGGTTTGTGGTGTTATTAGGTAATAAATAATTTTATGTAAATTCAGACTCACGTGTTACTATACTAATTTAGGAAAGTTTCTGTTGTCGGTGACTCACACCTACAATGTCACAATGCTTTGCCTCAATACTGATTTTCCACCAATTAAACGGTTTATAGACAAGTAGATTATGTGTCATATGACTTATGATGTATCCTACAATTGTTTATCTGAATATTTTGCTAATCTGTTATTCATGCAGCATGCCTAAGGATTCAATGATTACTGTATCTGGGCTACTAGCCATTAATTCTCAACTTTCATCACAGAGCTCTGAGAATTATCAGGTCACTCTTGTTCAGAAGTTACTCTCTAAGGTTGTTGTTATGCCAATTGCTGATATCATTAAACTTGGATATGTATGTACCCCATTGTTTTACATATTTTCCTAATTTATTTACTTATTTGTTCACGTGATTGCTTTATCAGCATATTGTATTAGAGTTGTGTACCGTATATGTATGTCACATTTTATGCAACTGTTGGTGAAACTAAGATGTTGGTTGCGTCTCCCTATGGTTGGTATTATCGTGCCTGCCATGCTTGCTCATGCATGGCACGTGGGGACAAACCTCCATTTGAGTGTGAGGCTGGCCATTTGAATGAGGCAGAGATATTTAGGTGTTACTACTTCTCATATGATATTTGTTGTCGCATTGAAAATGATGCTCGTATGTGCTGTTGTGTGAATATGTAACTAATCTTGTTTATTTGGCCCATTAATCCTGCTATTGCATGTATAAGATTAAGGTTCAAGTTTGTCACGTAGGGAATAGTTGTAACTTTCTGTTTTGGAACAAAGAGTGTGAGCTTCTCTTGGGTTTATTTGCTTCTCAGTTGCGTTATACTATGATTCAGGTTATTGTTTTTTTAAACATTGAAACCTATGCAGTTTTCACGAACACTAAAAGTTTATTGTGTTGCTTCCGTGTATAGGCTGGACTTCATGATCCATTGGAGTTCCCATTAGCACTGGACCAGATGTTAGACGTGAAAATGGCTTTTAAGGTGAAGTGGTAGCCGCGCTGGAAGAATTACTCAGTGGTTATGCTCTTGAAAAATGATCCTTTCATCAAACAACTCAGTGATCAATTGGAAACATACGAGGTATGATACATATTCGTTCCAATTTATTTTTCCCATTGTTTCTTTATTTTCATGTACAACCTTTCTTCTGATCTTACTTTAATTGAACCTGTAAAGGAACTTGTTCCTCTATGCTCTATATCATCAGACCCGCTGCAGGTATTTACCTCACTAGAATATTTTGTTGTGCTTGTGCTTAATTGTTATGGTATACGTTATGTTGTTCACGTATGTATGTGTACTAATAATTACAATTATCTTTAGATAAAAGAGAGTGCTGATGAGGCAAAACCCAGTGCCTCCGAAGGATTTGATTTGGTTATGGTAATTGTATATACCCTTCTGATTTGTGCATCATTTAAATTGGTGACACATAATATATATTTGTTGTTGTAACTCATATTATTTTTGAAACTCATTGTGTAATAGGATCTTGAGATCACATCCAAGCACTGCATGGACCCTACTACGCTTGCTGGAAAAAGACAATTTCCATGTGTATCAAGCGAATTAACAAGCTCGGAAGGGTTATGTTGTACCCCAAAATTTTCCCTCCCATATTCTTCAAGGTTTGTCAAGAATGATCTTCAAATTGTTCAAGATTGCTCAAGAGATTCTACAGTCCAAACCACCTCCTAAGCCAGTCAAAACTAGGGTTTTGGTTCTTTCAAGGAATTTGAGGTTTTCAATGGCTCAATCAAGTCTCATATGCCCATATACATTCTCAAGCACCTACATGCCAAGTTTCAAGACTCACAGTGTCAATTTGCACAGTCAAAAGCTCCATTTGACCTACAGTCAACTGCAGGGGCAAAATGGTCATTTTGCAGTCAAAAGTCAGAATTTTTGGTCAACATCTTATTTTGAGTTCACAATCATCATTTGATCAAGTCTTGATCATGATTCCACAAGCATGGCTCAAAAATCATAAAGATGCAAGAAGTTACTATTTTTGGACAGCAGAAAAGTCAACTGTATCTTGACCAGGGCATAACTTTTTCATGGTTCATCATAAAAATTCCATCCAATGCTCATTTTGAATAGGATGACATTCCCTACAATCCATATTCACATTCCAAGTCCAAGAAATGCTCTCACAAAAAGTTATCAATTTCTACATTATAGGTCAAATTCAAAAGTCAACAAAAATGCACTTTAAGTCAAAGACCATAACTTGAGATTGGTAAATCCAAATAACATGGGACCAAAGGCATGGGTTAGAGGACTTCAAGAACTTTCCAAAATGTCCAAGAACATATTCATTTGATCAAAATTGAGCAAGATATGCATTGGAGAAGTTGGGAAATTTGTGGGAATTTGCAAAAGTCAACTTTGCTCAAAATACTTTGTTTTTGCTAATGGGCCTCAAATTTCTTCTTGAAACTTTATCCATGACCTATGCACGACCCATCAAGCTTAATTAAATTTATTTTCTTATTTTTTATTAATTAATTGGATTTTTAATCAATATTAATTCATTTAATTAATTTAAATTGTAGGAAATACAAAGATTTGATTTTTCAATCTTTTTGTGAAGCAAATGTGGTCAAGATATGCTGGCAATTTCGTGTACCAATCAAGGATGCAAAAATCTCCAAATTAGGCAACTTTCTTCAATAAAAAAGATTCAAAAATATGTGATTTCTAATCAAATATGCAATCATCATTTCAATGGATTTTGGCTCAAGATTTTAACCTAATTTCAGTCTCCTATATATACACAAGCTAACCCTAATCATGCACACGTGAAAGCTGCTGCAAGAAAGCCATAACCATATTGAGAAAATTCAAGAAAACTTGAAAATTGATTTCCATATTCTAGCACGATTCAAATGCTTTTATTGATTCTAATCTATTGCAGGGGTTCCCAGAGACGTATTGCAATCAAAACCAAGCACTAAAGCTCAAGAAATCACCAAGAACAGTCTCACGGTTTGACATTTTTTCTCATAATCGTAACTCGTGATTCATAAGCATTTGATATGATTTCTTATTTGTTTTGTGTTGTTAGAGACCACAGGAAGCTATTGGCATAGTTTAATTGGATTAAAACTCACAGAATCAAAAGATGCCATTGATGAATTTTAGGGTTCTTATGCTGTGAATTTGGGGCTTTATAGTCCAGGAAAAATTAGAACCCTTAAGACCCATGGTTGGAACCGTTGAATCCAGACGAACAC